TCTCATTCTGTCTCAAATAAATAAATAAAATCTTTAAAAAAAAAAAAAAGGTTATTGAATAAATATGTGTAAACAAAAAAACCAAAAAGAATATTGTTTCTACCGTGATATTACCATACTAGGCTCCACCAATACTTATATTCACCTCATCAATTAAAAAACTCAAAAACCCATGGGCTTATTTTTTATGTTAAACTTTATAATGGAATTTACAGTAGCATTCACAATAATGTCAGATGTTCTTTGACAGAATGAACTTCCAAATGCTCTATGGTGAATCCATGACTTAGGTCAAAAAATTGGACGATTATTCGAATTAACTGTTTTTTTAAACACCATTGATATAAAAGTTATCATCTAATTGTTTCTGAAGTTCTTCTTTTCCTAATGGAATCAACACATTAAAAGCTATTGCTTTATTTTTTTAAAAAAAGATTTATTTATTTGACAGAGAGAGAGAAAGAGCACAAATAAGGGAAGCGGCAGAGGGAGAGGGAGAAGCAGGCTTCCCGCGGAGCAGGGAGCCCGATGTGGGGCTCGATCCCAGGGCCCTGGGATCATGACCTGAGCCGAAGGTGGATGTTTAACCGACTGAGCCACCCAGGCACCCCTATTGCTTTAGTTTTGAACAAGCACAAGAAAACCTGGAATTGAAAATGAGTGAAATTATTTTAGAACAGGGGTGGGCAAACTACAGACCACAGCTGCAAGGTAAGAATCATGTTTTATGTTATTAAAGGGTTGAAAATCAAAGTCGAAACCCAAACCAGAGAAGAATATGTGACAGAGACCATATGGGGCCTTCAAAGCCAAAAATATTTACTATCTGGACTTATATAGAAAAAGTTTGTGGACTGATTTAGAACAACAATCTTTTGAAAAGTTGTGCTCCACAGATTGATATATATATGCATCTTTGAAGTTGTATGTTAAGTTCAAGCAAGCTTTTCCTATAATACAATAACTTTTAAGGTAAATGCTGCCTCTCTTTAAGTAGATTTGTGTCTTCTGGTTTTCATGCTCAGCGATACAACATCATTATGAGACCATAGTAGATGTTTAAGTATTGACAGTCTGGGCAAGGTACAAGTTCATCATCAACTTTCATGAGAAACAGAACTTCTAATTTAATTTTTAAGCGAAGATGCACTTAGGTTTTTTTTAGCTCATAGTAGCTGAAATGGTTTAACTGAAAAAGACTTTTTTATTTTATTCTATTTTATTTATTTTATTTTTTAAAGTAGGCTCCATGCTCAACATGGAGCCCAATGAGGGGCTTGAGCTCACAACCCTGAGATCAAGACCTGAGCTGAGATCAAGGCTTGGACCCTTAACCAACTGAGCCACCCAGGTGCCCCCAATGAAGATTTTTTAAGTATTATAAAAAAAGTATTATCAAACAGTAAAATAAATAACTGTAATTTATTTACAGTCATTTACAGAGCAAACTCACTTATAAAACCAACAAAAAGATGAGATACTTAGGAATAAATTTAATGAAAAATGTGCAAACCTCCATGAGAAAAAAATTTAAAACACTCCTCAAAGATACAGAAGCAGACATGAACAATTGGAAAAATGTAGTCTATTATTAGATAGAAAAGCTGAACATGGTATAGTTCTCCCATAAGTTAATGTATAAATTTTAACATAATCCCAATAGAAATATTAAGTATTGATGAACAGTATGATAATGGTACATATACAGAACAGAGGAATAGAGTGCGAGCCCAGAAAGAAAGACCTAAGTACATATGGAAATCAAATATATGATAAGGGTGGCATCTCAAATTATTGTTGAAATGAGGGACATTTTAATAAATGGTGCCATGAAAACTGGGAAACTACTTGGAAAAAAAGATAAAATTTGGTCTGTATCTCTCAAAACCCACAAGAATTTAGGAAGTCTAAGTATAAAAATTTATACCATACAAATACAAGAAGAACATATTGTGAATCCTTCTTCAACCTCAGTGTGGGGCGAAAGCTTTTAAAGTATGACTCAAAAATAAAGAATATATAAGAAATATAAGACTAAGAAATATAAGAAATATAAGAAAAATAAGAAAAATATAAGCAGGGCGCCTGGGTGGCTCAGATGGTTGAGCGTCTGCCTTCGGCTCAGGTCATGATCCCGGGGTCCTGGGATCGAGTCCCACATCGGGCTCCCTGCTCCTTGGGAGCCTGCTTCTCCCTCTGCCTCTCTCTCTCTCTCTCTGTCTCTCATGAATGAATAAATAAAATCTTTAAAAAAAAAAAAAGAAAAATATAAGCAATATAAGAAAAAAATCAGTAAGTTTTCCTGCATCAAAATAAAAAAATCTACATGGCAAAAGCATTATAGTCAAAGTCAAAAGACCACTGGCAAACTGGAAGAAAATATTTGCTACATGTACTACAGATAAAAGGTTAATATCCCTAATGTGTATGTATATGTGTGTGTGCATATAAATCTCAAGAATGGAGAAGCAAAGGACCAAAAATCCACTAGAAAAATGAAGAAAAAAATATGAACATACAATTCACAGAAAAGGACATAAAATAGCCCTCGACAATCTGAAAATATATTCAGATTCCCACATAATTAGAGAAATGCAAATTAAAACAATACTGAGATGCCATTTCTCATCTATCAGATTCACAATAATTGAAAAACTGATAATACCTTCCGTTGTTGAGGCTGTGGGGAAATAGGCACTGAAAATGGATACAATCCTGTTGTGGGGGGGGACTTTGCAATACCTAACAAAGCTACATATGTACGTATTTTTTTAAGTTGTTTTTTATTGTGGTAAAATATACAGGAGACGGAATTGACCACTTTAATCATTTTTAAGTGTACAATTCAGGGGCACAAGTGCATTGTGCAACCATCACCCCTATCCGTTTTCAGAACTTCTTCATCATCCCAAACAGAAACTCTGTGTCCTTTAAATATTAACTCCCCAATCCCTCTCTCCCCACCCCGATAACCTTTATTCTATTTGCTGTCTCTATGACTTTGATCACTCTAAGTACCTCATATAAGTGGAATCATATTTTTCATTTTGGGTATGGCTTATTTCACTAAGGACTAATGTTTCTGACGCATGTTGCAGCATGTACCAGAATTTCATTCATTTTTATGGCTGAATACTATTCCACTGTATGTGTATACCACATTTTGTTTATCCACTCATCTGTCGATGGGCACTTGGGTTGCCCCCACCTTTGGCTACTGGGAATAATGCTGCTATGAAAATAGGTGTACAAGTATCTGCTTGAGTCCTGTTTTTAACTCTGTTAGAGTGGAATTGCTAGGTCCATGGTAATTATATGTTCAACTTTTCAAGAAACTACCAAACATCATTTTTCACAGCTGTAATTATCTTCTGATTCAGCAATCCTACCTTGAGGAATCTACCTTGAAGACACACATCCACCAATACAAAATTATATATGTACAAAGTTATTTGCTGCAGTGCTGTTTCTAATTGACAATATGAGAAACAACGTCAATGCTCACACGGAGGAAAGTGGGTTGAATAAACTATAGTACATCCACCCAGTGGAAAAATACGCAGTATGTATGTGTAAAAAAGAAAGAGGAAGATTTCTGTGAACCAATATGAAGTAATTTCCAGGATACATTGTTAGGTATAAAAAGCAAAGTTCAAAAACCTATTTACAGTGTGATCTCTTTCACAAGAGAAAGGACATAAGAAAACATACACGTATCTGCTTCCTTGTGAAAGAGAAACATAGGGATGGTAACACCAGAAATTAAATCCTGTAGGTTACCAGAGAGAATGGGTGGGAATGGGTTGGAAGGGATGGGAGAATGGGAATGGGGTAGCAAGAACGAGGGGGAAGCCACCTTCTCTCAGAATATGTCTTTCATAGCTCTGACTCTTAGAAGGATGTAGTATTTCACATGCCTCAAAACAGAATTAAAATCAGCAGGAACATGCAGAAAACCCCAAATGGAACATGATAACCTACCCAGTTACAAATAAACCTACGTGTATAACAAATGAAAAATGCAACCGTGCTGAAGGGAGTGGGGAGAATAGGAACTCACCTAAGTAAATTTGGAAAACATGATTTTGACCTGATACCGTAAGGCTAAAAAGCTAAAGACCCTGTATACAAATGCCTTCGCTGGTCACTTCTAACAGGGATGGGGGCTAGTTCTTCTGAAACTACTTTATGTGTATCCTAGAACTGAACAAAGAAACAAATATGAAGAGAGTAGGGTTCTTGCCATCAGAGAAAAAGAGGTTACAAATAAAGCAAGAAGGAAGACAACCTCAACAAGAACGAACA